TATCGGATAAAAGAATATCGGAACCGAAATAAAAAAGAAGAGAGAGAGAGTGAGAAAGAAGAGAGAGAGAGAGAGAGTGTGAGAGAATGAAGAGATACGAGAGAGAGAGAGAGAGAGAGAGAGAGAGAAAGAAAGAGTGCGAGAGATAATCAAAAAGAGAAAAGGAATCGGTACAAAGTCGGTTATGAATTGGGGAAGAGAATAATAATAATAATGATAATACGATATCGGCGGAATCTGAAATCTGAAGATATTAACGTTTAATTACACAGATTTATTATACATACATAGATGCAGACGGTCGAAGGATAGAGCGAATCGTATCATCGAGTTGAGAATCGGGGTATATTGCGATCGCAACCGGCACTGGAATCACGCGGTATCACCGTTCGGACTGACTCTTTTGGCGGGCTTTTATATTTTTGGCTCTTGCGCGATGAACGTTCTGTCGCGATACATCGCCTTCGCAAAAGTATCAAATAGTATGGAATGCGAGGCGTGGCGGTCGAAATCCTCCTCTCCTCCCCCCTTCCTCCCCATATAAAATTTGACGACGAGGAGGATCATCTCCCTCGTCACGTCCTCCCGTCCCTTCCTTTATTCGCGAATTCGAATCGATTCGTGATTCGAAACGAAGCGAGAATAAAATTTCGATCGCGCGACTCCTCTTCGAACGCCACGCCTCCGTCAAACCTCCTTGGTTCGAGTAAACGTTAGAGAAAGAAAATATGACTGAGCGTCAATGATACATACCGTCCTCGTGAGTTCTGACAGAGATAGGATAACTCGGAGGTCCGTCACCTACGCTGGTCCCGGCCAATACCCAAATCCGATACTCGGTCCACTTTTTCAGTTCGTCCAACACGAATTGCGTGTCATTCAGTTTGATAACTTTCGCCTCTGAGTCGGAGCGTCCGCTCTCGACCACTTGCAGCTTGTAGTACGCGATCCTTCCGTTCGATCGATCGGCAGGCGGTGGTTCCCATGTTACCCGTATGGAGGTCGGGCTGACCGCTTCTCCGCTTACATTGCGAGGCGGAGCCCCGGGGACTGTATAACACTCAGTTGTAGGGGAGGGAGAGAGGGAGATAGAGATAGAGAGAGAGACAAAGAGATAGAGAGAAAGAGAGACAGAGAGAGACAAAGAGAGAGAGAGAGAAAATAGAAAAAAAAAAAAACGAAAACGTGGTAGGGAAATATCGTCGATCATCGTTATCGGTCATAGAACGATCGCGGCTAATTACGAGCTCGAGCCTCGAATCGAGTCACGCCCGAGATTCCTTCCAACTCGAGACGTTGGATATATACGGATAGATAGATAGATATCGGGAAATCGTATCCCGTGGAAATTGAGGAACGAGTATTCGCGACCTCGATTCGATCAACTCGACTCGGCTTCGAAATCGAGACGCGTTCGAACTTGACCAATAAGATAGGACGAGAGGGATCGGAAAACTTAAAGGTTCAAAGAGAGAAAGAGAAAGAGAGAGAAAGAAAGAGAGAGAGAGAGAGAGAGAGAGAGAGAG